AAAACTACTCTATGGTTTTGCTTTTGCAGGCTGCGTTTAGAGGGTTCCAAGTAAGAAGACAGTACCAGAAAATAACATGGTCGGTGGGAGTTCTTGAGAAGGCGATTCTGAGATGGAGACTGAAGAGAAAAGGTTTCAGAGGGCTTCAGGTTAGCCAACCTGAGGAGAAGGAAGGAAGTGAGGCGGTGGAGGATTTCTACAAGACAAGCCAGAAACAAGCAGAGGACCGGCTCGAGAGGTCAGTGGTTAAAGTCCAGGCCATGTTCCGGTCCAAGAAGGCTCAGCAAGATTACAGAAGGATGAAACTGGCTCATGAAGAAGCTCAGGTGAAAATCACTTTTACTTCTTTCTGTTTTCTTTACTCAATTCAACTATTAAACACAATTTCACGTATAAATTTTGATGATTAATTTATAATGGTAAATGTTAAAATGTGATACAGCTGGAGTATGATGGGATGAAAGAACTTGAGCAAATGGCTATGGAGGAGAGCTGAATGGGAACAATAATAAAGAGGAGTGGTGCGGTGGAACTGTAAATTTGTGCAAATGACGAGGGGCAATTTCGATCTTTTAAGAAGCGGTTTTCAAAAAAGTTTCAAAGGGTATTATGGTAAATCGAGCCTGGAGCTGGGAGATTTCCATAGAGCGCGTCTCGTCGTTAGTTTTTCTTTGTATGTTTGGTGGATAGTCTTGTATTGTGTTATGTGACTTGTGAGATATGACGCTAAAAAGCTAAAACGTTTTTTAGTTTGTCTATAAATTCTCCTTCTTACTGTCTTTCCTCTGTTTTATATCTTGGATTTCTGAATTATAATAATAAATATACTTCAATTACGTGTCTGCACAATCTGGTTTTTTTTTTCTTCCTTAAATCTAAGATACAATTTAAGAAGAACATGAAACAAATATACGTGATGAAATCAGAGACTCAATCTTCGCCTTTGCTCGAATATTGGTAAAGTACAAATGTCTTTTTTCCACAAAACTTTGGTTACAGGCTGCTCTTAAATTCTTCTTGTTTTACACAGCAACTTTTACACTTTGTGCTGTTACTGAAGCTGGACTATCGACCTGAAATTGAGATAGACAGGAGTTGCTTGCCTTTTAATCGAGATTTGATGTCAATTGATTAGAGAATGCAAATATAGATTCTTGAATTTACCTTGGCTGCTTTAAACAGTTCGTCTACAACTTCAGACAGTGTTGGATGTGCATGAACAGCAAGTTTTATGTCCTGCATTATCATCACACAAAGCCAAAAAAAGCTCACAATCTAAAGTCCTATGATCAAAATCAGCGAGAGGTTAGTTTGCTGCCAGACCTGAATGCGTGTTCCTAAAGCAATCGCGTTGGATGCTTCATGGATAAGATCAGCAGCATGCAACCCAAAGATATGAACTCCAAGGATTTCACCATTGTCAGGTCTGTATATCATCTGTGCACATAAAGGGAGTGTTCAGATATCTCTTCGCAAGTCACTCCAGAACTATAAACAACTATATTTATTTATTTCAATTTAGTTCTTCTCATAACCTTAGCGAGTCCTTCTCCTTCATTTTCGGCTAGGGCCTTTGTGTTTGCCTTGAAACTTGTCTTGGCAATACTTACTTTGAATCCCTCTTTCTCCGCTTTCTCTCTTGCTTGAGGCTGGGAATTGCAGAAATGATTACGGAAATCATAAAAGGTTACGATTACAATTTTTCAAACACCAACCCACTAAGAGTGTCTAGAGGTTACCTCTGTCAATCCCACCATACTGATTTCAGGATGAGTAAAACAAGCAGCTGGGATGCTATGATGATTAAGCACATGATCTCTACCTGTGACTTGCTCCACCACTAGCCAACACAAGTAGATGCACAGAGTTTAATAAAAAGACAATTGCACATAGTAAAGTGTAAAAGGGAAAACAAAAGACAGATGCATTTATAGTGAAATATTGATAGAACCATTTACCAGAAATTCCTTGGGCACTAGCTGCATGAGCAAGCATCATTTTACCGTTGGCATCACCGATGCAGTACAAGTGGGGAATCTATCAACCAAGAGTGACTCAGTACATTAAGAAATATAACTTTTGGTAAAAAATAAGGTGTTCATATGAAAGAAAATAACACTAACCAGCTTTCCATTTCCATCAATAACACGCATTCGCTCATCAACTGGTATAAAACCTCTTTGTGTCACAACATTGATCTGTGTGGAAATCACAGCTTTTTGTTATTTCTTTAGTAACCAAATAAGCTCCTCAGGGAACCAAAATGAAAAAAATATTCATAAGGAATGCGGTTTATTGTTGGTTCATACATTTTCCAGTCCAAGACCATTGGTGAATGGCGCTCTTCCAGTAGCAATTAAAGCAGCGTCAACCTTGAACAAGGAACTTAAGGTCAAACTTTCAGTGCAGGGAAAAAAACACATAAAAGTCTCAACTGTGATGAATGAAATTCAAAGACATTTCTATTTTTTTTTCTTTGTTTTGGAAAAGATCTGATTTTAAAATACGAGAAGCCTTGGCTAACCTACAAAACTATGCATTATATACTTTGCATGTGGCAAGCTCATGTGTGATGAGTACAGCGTCACGATATTTTGATGAGAAGCAAAAAAAATTGCATAACTAGACAACTATTTTCTCTTGTAAATTTTCAGACATATGCTTAACATTTTGTTACCTCCAAAGTATCCTTGGGTTCCTTGGTTTTGGCATCAATTAGCTCAATCATCACTGGTTTCCCACCCTTTGCTGGAGTGATCTGTAAGGAAGAGTTAAATAAATAAAAGTTCGTAAACCCATTGTATAAAGAAGAAATCTTAATTAGAATGCACTGATAAAAAGGTTACTTTGCTTGCAAACACTCCAGTATGATAGTCAATTTTTCTTGGATTTATTAGAACCCTTTGAGCCAGCTTACTGATCTCAGGATCAAACCCAGGCATTAGCTGATCCAGAGCCTCGATAAAAGTTACCTGCAAAAAAAAAAAAAGTTTTCCTAAGCTTGGTCACTTCCTGGAGTTGCAGTGCATCACAAACCTTAAGTAAGCAAAACATAGCTATCAGCCTATCACTCATTTTCATTTCGATCAGGTTACCAATAGGACAAAAACCTAAGATCCTTTTGTTTCTATTGAGAGAAAACAGAAAACTAAAGAGTAAGCAAAAAACATCACACACTATCACACCAATGCAAATCATTAGCACAAAATCAACATGTTACCTCACTTCCAAGGGCCGTGTAAACATCACTGAACTCAAGACCGATATAACCACTTCCTACTATCGCAATCCAGTCAGGAACGGACTCCAATTTCAATGCATGATCACTTGTGATAACAGTCTTTCCTGCAGCACAAAATATGAGGAATACTAAAAGAGAAGAGAAGTTTTGGTTTTTGAGGCAACTCCCTCGCATATATAATGTAAAAAAAAACACATACCATCAACTTCAATTCCTTTCGGGACAAACGGTACAGATCCAGTTGCGATGATTATATCTTTTCCAGTGATAATATTGTCACCATATTTAACCTTTTGTGGACCCTGCATAAGTGAAAAATAGACTAAGGATATTAGGATCGCCAAATAACAATGACGTATCATGTGGAGTTATTTAGTCAACTAAGAACAATATCATACTGACCAGGACAGCCCCAAACCCTGTCAATATGTCAACACCCAGTGCCTTCATTGAATTGGTGAGATTATTCCTAATTTTGGTAGCCAGATTACTCGCATGGTCAGCCACACCCTGACGGTCATAACCGGCAGCTGAAACCTGTCATCCAAGGGAGGCAATGAAAGCAACCTAGAGTCAGCGCTAGGGAGATAGTACTTGCTTCACAATCATTCGAAATCGAACTACAATCATTTTCAGCAGACTGTTAATTGCATTGCACATCAGTTCATATTACCTGCAAACCAAAAGCCTTCATGTGATGTTCGTTCTGCAGTTCCCGCATTCTACCACTAACAGCAAGGAGAGCTTTGGAAGGCACACAGCCTCTGTTAACGCAAGTCCCTCCAACAACATCTCCTTCAATGATGGCAGTTTTGAGTCCCTATACAACGTTACAAAACAACAATTCACTCGATGAGATCATGAATACCGGTAAAGAAATACAGTAATAGCTAGTAAGATTCCTAAACTGGCATATTGAAGAAGATGTTGCTACGCATTCCTTCACCATCTCAATAAAGCAAAGCATGTGATTCCACTATCAAGCAAATTCTCCATAAATGTATCCATATCAATTTGATCCAGAGTATTGGCAAAGCATAGAATCATAATCGAACTTGAGTCCTCCTAATTAGAAAGAGGACCTTCTCGACGGCGTGCAATGCAGCTCCATGGCCACCAACTCCAGCTCCGATAATGATCAAATCATAATCGAACGATTTCGATAGAGCTCCATTTCCAGCGGAAGAAGAAGCAGCGGCGGAGACTTCGATTCTCCTACTCTGAATTTGAAATCGGCGCGATGTCAACTGCTTCGACGGAGAGAAACCAAACGCTTCTCGCCGGAGTCCACAGAACCGGAGATTTCTCGGCGTAGTAGAAGGAGCTGCGTTGGATGAACAAAGCGGACGATTCGCTAAAGGAAGCGATGTTTGTGAGAAGGAAAGAGAGAGAGCTGATTGCATTGTGTTAGAGAGAGAGAGTGAGAGATCTGTAGAGAGAGAAAATGGGAGTGTGACGGAGATGACAAGTAGTAGTAGTATCACTCCGACGAGCGGAGGCGGAGATATCAAAGCGGAGAAGACACGTGGCACGTTTCTCGTCTTTAAACCGGAGATTTCAAAATTCCCGGTTTATAATAATATCTATCTCTGAGCCCATTGGGCTTTTAATTTCTCGGTCTTTCTGACGTTACCTTGTGTTTTTGGAAGAAGAGCGCCACGTGGGGAAGGAGAACGGCGAACAGTTCAAACGGCAGACTCCGACACGTGTGGAAAAACTGAACACGTGTCAAATAACTCTGTTCTGTTCCACATTTTTCTCCTTGTTTGTTGTTGAAGAGAGAAGTATTAACAGAGAAAGAGAGAAGCAAGAAGTGAAGAAAGAAAGAAAAATATGGATAAGAGTGGAGGAAGAATGGTAATGGATGAGATAAGAAGCTTTGAGAAGGCACACTTGTTCGATCTTGGTCATCCTCTTCTCAACCGTATCGCCGATTCCTTCGTTAAAGCCGCCGGAGTAAGTTTTCATTTCATATATCTCCGTTTTCCGGTAGTATATGCATGTTACATATGTAGTGACATAGCTTAATATGGATTAACTATGAAGGTGGGAGCGTTACAAGCGGTATCGAGGGAAGCTTACTTTACGGTGGTTGAGGGTAAGAAACTCCGGCGAGTTTCTTCTTACTTAATGATTTATATGTATAAAAATAAGTATGTAAATGTAAGAGTCAAAATGAATAATTAGAGGAACGTACTTTAATTTGATTATGAATTTAGGGGCAGGGTTTGACTCGAACAACGTTGGTCCACCGTCGGAGATTACAGGGAACAAGAAACATAGGTTCCCTAATCTCAGAGGTCCGTTATAATATTGTATAGTATTAATTTGGTTAATGATTTTATATAATTCGCGTTATGTTATGTTATGTTAATAATTATGTTTGTCGTTTTTTTTTTTTTTTGGTCAGGGGAAAGCAGCAAATCTCTTGATGCATTGGTGAGTTTGTTACAATTGCTAGTTATTAACCTTTTATAATCGTCAAATGTTCGTCCACACGTGTGCTAGTGTTTCTTGTTACTTGACTGAAATTTTTTTAAATTTGATTGGCCTCTAGGTGAAGAACACAGGAAAAGAATCTCTCCAGTGGGGTGAGTTTATATATGTAACTGTTTAAATTAACGTTTCAAGATTAGTGTTGGAAAGAGAGTTAATGATTTAAGGTTGGGATATTGATTTGGGAATTGTAGGGCTAGCGGCTGGGTTGTACTCAGGTATCACTTACGGTATGAAGGAGGTTCGTGGGGGAGCTCATGATTGGGTTAGTCAATAATTAACTTGTATCATTTTCTTTCGTCAATGAACAAATGATTAACATGATCTTTAATAAATATGTAATCATGTGTATCACAGCGGAACAGCGCGGTGGCTGGAGCATTGACAGGAGCGGCAATGGCTATGACGACGTCCGAGAGGACAAGCCATGAGCAAGTTGTTCAGTCTGCTCTCACTGGAGCAGCCATTTCCACCGCCGCTAATCTCCTTTCTAGTGTTTTCTAGATGATTTTCATTAGAAACTTTAATTGTAAGGGTTGTTTCTTGTATCAGTTATGTTTTTTTTGTGAAAACAAATTCTCTAAAGGTCTACTAAGATCTTGTCTTAAAACTCTGAAGCCAGAGATCGCTTTTCCATCCGTTAGGAATATTTGCTTTGGAGACAAAATCATCTATTTTTGATTAGTAACCTTATCTATTTGGATAAAAATGCGGGTCCTGTGGACTCACCGGCTCAGACAAGAAACCTGTGAGGCCGCATAAGCAATTTTGGAACTATGTGTTAGCTTATTTATGTTGAATAACAAAATGACTACGGTTCACGTGAATGTGAAAAATAAATTGTCATTGAGTAGAGAAATGTCTCTAAATACCAAGAAAAAAGGTATAATGGTGAAAGGAATTGCAAGAGAATATAAGCTTATCGCAGTTACATTAAAAGTTAAACAATGGAGTGTGATCACTACTTAAAAAATGGATTTTGATGCATTCATGATCCATGGAGATTAAAATAATAAAAAACTATCAGTACTCTTTAGCTATTTTCAATTATTAATTTAAATTTGCACCTAAATTTATTATTAGACTTTCAACATCCAAATCAAAGTTTGAGCTAACCGAGCATGGAATGTCAATTGTACAAATAAGACCAGACGCAACAAAGCATTTTACTAAAGTCTAAAGGAACTTAGCAACGTAGGAAACAAGAAAGCGTACGAAGAAGACATTGAATTGTGTAGTTATTTGATAGTATCAAATTGATACTATAAGAAGCGAAAAAAAAAACAGATAGAATTTTCTTGGGTTTCTATCATTTTTTGGTGTGTCTGCATAATATCGGGTTGAGAAAATCGTGGATTAATATCTCCTTTTGGAAACATTTCCATGGCGTAACGCACTGAATTGAATCAATAAATTTTAAAATACTTCGCTGCTTACCAACAACTCTTTTTTTTCTCTGTTTATCAACAACAACCCATAAGTCCATAACAACTTAACAATTATACTAATAGTCTAATACTAATAGTAAGATATTTTTTTTGAGTATTTTATATTAAGGGTCTGATTGGTAACAGCTGTAGCTTTATATTTTTTGATGTAGAAATATGATTGTAGGTTTATTTGTTGTGGCTGTAGATTTTATTGCTGTAGTATTTTGGCTTTAGAATTTAAAATTTTGGAAAGTTGAAAATTATGTGCTTAAAAAAAAGGTTTTCTACAGCCAAAAAAATGAATTAAGGAAATATTTTGGATGTGAGAAAAAAAAAAAAAAACCAAAGCTTCTAAAGCTTGATTAGATGTATTTTAAATCTTTAGAAATTTTTTTGCTTTGTAAAGACTCTAAGTCAACATTAATGATGATAATATATATTTATTTGAAAATATATGGAGAGTGGAGATCACATGGAGGAGGAGGAAAGGATAATATAAAAATCGAATCCCGCATTACCTTTCCTTTTGCTTAAAAAAGGATTCTTCTTATTTCCTCTCCACATAATACTCTCTTTTTTGACGTCTCACCTTCTCCAGTCCTCTCCTTAAATGTAATTAATCACCTTAATCATCTTCTAATCTCTTATCTCTAATCTTTTTATTATCTGCAGTTTCATTTTGTTTCTGATTTATGTAAATTGATTGACATGGAGTCGATTTCTCCGGTTACGAATCAAAGCTCTGGTTATGATCAATCACGGCGTAAACGTAAGAAGAAACAACCACAGCAACCACCGTCTCAATCGTCGGTTGAGAAATGGAGATCGGAGAAGCAACAACAGATCTACTCGACGAACATCATTCAATCTTTAAGAAAACTCCGGATTAGCTCCGCCGTCAAGCCGCCGTCTCCTCGCGGCGGAGGTATAGCAGTACGTGACGCTGCTTATAGATCATTAGCGGTTACGGCGAGAGGAAGAACATTGTGGAGCAGAGCTTTATTATCTAAAGCCGTGAAGCTCAAGTTCAGGAAACAGAACCGGATGAGAAATTCGAATTGTGCGATAACCGGGAATAATAATAACCGGTTAAAGAAAAAACGAGCAACGGTTTTGAGGCTGAAGGGGAAAGGTTTGCCAGCTGTACAGAGGAAGGTGAAATTGCTTAGCCGGTTAATTCCCGGTTGCCGGAAACAACCGTTACCTGTGGTTTTAGAAGAGACCACCGATTATATTGTTGCCATGGAGATGCAGATTCGAGCTTTGAATGCCTTAATCTCCGCCGTTGCGCCGCCAACGCCACCGTCGGAGACAGGTCATGATGGGGAAGAGACACACATGCTCGGTTAGCTTGGCCCAGCTGTCTCTTTTATTTTTTCTGATTTTTTAAAACTTCTTTTGTTTGTTATCTCATCATGGTTTTGTTTTGGATATTTAAATATTATTATGAATTTTATGATTTAACATTCTACACATCTTAATGTATATCCATCTTTTTTTTCTTGAATCACTCTAGAAACGTAAAACAAGAACGATGAAGTGATTTTCTTGAATTTGAATGAAAGAATTTGTAATGTTTGTGCTGAGGTAAGCTTCGATTTGTTACGTAACATTAATCTGTATTGTTATGAAAGTTTGGTTGGTATTGAAACTGAGGTCTCTTTTTGTTATTGGCTATGTTTATGTGTATGTTATACTGTTATATAGTTACGTTTACCTAATTACCTCTATCTTATGATATTATGGATGGTGAACCCTTCATCTATCTTTCTAAACTTTGTTTATGATTTGTTTTTTTTTTCTTTTTATTCTCTAAACAAACAACAATGTTGCTTGCTTGTCAAACGCTGTGATGATTTCTTGAATTAAATCCTCTGTATCTCTCTATTTGCTTGATAACTCTGCCATTCCAGTTGCAATGTTCCCTGCCTCCTGCAACGACCTCCCTTTTTATTGATTCTTTCCTCCAGACACCACCAAGCTCACTTGTGTCAAATGCGCAGTTCCTCATACGAGAACTTCGAGCTTTAAGCTTACACCGGTTCTGGGGAATGCTGGAACCACTAGCACCGTTCCTCGTCATTGGATCCCCTTAGGAATTAGTGTGTTCTCCAAGTTAGGTTTGAGCACTCAGCTTTAGTAAGTGCCCATTTTGGTGTGAGATAACGCAAAAGAGGGTTTCCAAAATAGTAGAATAACAAAGCATGATTGAAGCAATATTTTCTGTAATTGTTTACTCGCTCTCCGTTTTGTCAAACCTCGCAGATAATCCGGCACTTGTCATATGGGTCCTTGACGATTGCTTCAACATCCCAGATATTTCCTATTTTTATGAGGTTCATACGAAACTCGAGAAAGCTCTTTATAAAGATGGATTTGACGATTCCATCCAACACTGTTATCTCATTATTGACCCCAGAACGGATTCCACGGATTTCCTCAAATCTTTCAAATCTTTGTACGCACATTATTTGCATCACTCTATCCATCTCTCTACTGAAAGCTGCAAAGGTAAATTTATTTTACTTAAAACTCTCTTTTCTTTATATGCATGATTAAATATATAATCTATACATGTCCGTTGGTATACTATTTACAGGGGATAAAGATGCAATATTTAACTGTATGTTACAAGACATTCTTCGTTGGTCGTTTGTACTGAGCGGTTTTAATCGCACGACAGGAAATGTTGTGCTTATCTCGGGTAACAAAAACTTTGGACAAGGCACCAAGTTCTCTCATGTTCGTGACTGTTTGTTGAAGAAAGGTTTCAATTTTGTGGTAGTAAATCCTGATACTTTGCCTAAAATAGATGGAAGTATGTGTATCTGTTCTACTTGAATGAATGCTTTTACGATCAATCAGTCTTTTGCTTTTTAACTTGGTGACCTGGGGTGCTTTTATGATCCGAGTGTACGTAATTTTAAACAATATTTTGTTTTTGCAATGCATATTGCCTCATCTTACAATATGTTATATGCATCTTTTATACTTTTTAACTTTTAAGTAAATTATGTAGAAACAACCACAGGTTTTTTTTATCCATGGTATAGTGAGAAATGCAATCTTTATTATTAAAAAAAAAAAAAACTACTCAAGATGAAATTAGTGCCTGCTTTATTGGAAATGGGAGACCTGTTTACAACCCAAATAACTTGATGTAATTTCTCTTGTGACATCAATTTTCAATAGGCTATATTTTTAATATATATATATACATATATTAGGAACTATATGGAGGTTCTCGTTTGCTAATCTATGTTTTTCCAAGACGTTATTTTCGTGTCATTACTAGTAAACATTTCTTCTCCTTTGATTTGTTCTTGGTAGGACCGTCCAGCCATTTTCAGTATTGTAAATAAGATAGAAAATAACAATTGGAAGACTGGATCCATCATCCATAGACTTGAGTTTTTTCGGACACATAAACGAGATTAATTATATGTAATATGCAGAGCTTACTTCTTTGATGTGTGAAATGGTTTAGGGTGATTGAAACCTTGACAGCGCCTATTTTTGGGGTTGCTTCTTCTCGATGTATCAATGGTTGGAACAATAAAACCGCTGAAAGAAGTCTCTTAAGCAAAGCCCTACAAGGTTGTCTATCAAAAAGAAGTTTTTCTTGATCCAAGTTTCATGTTGTGTTCTTTGAATGAGTTTTATCGACTAACAAAAAAATTGATTTGTCGTTTCATTCAGGTGAGGAGGAGAAAAAGCATCATATGCTAAAACGTAGAAAGTTTGGTCAAAATAATCATTCGGATTCTTCTTCTGATGTGTGTGTTCTCGTTAACTCGTGCACGAGTCTGCTTCGTTGGTCAAGTCATCACTAGTTAGAAAGCAATAACAGGTAGATATTGTTCAAATGAAAGCTTAAATCCATTTAAACATAAACACGTTCCAACTCATCAAATACAAACGCTTCAGCTTCCCAAGATACTTCATGTGTATGTTTACCCTAGAAAAATTAGTCCATAGAATCAGCATTTGATATGGCCTCTTCATTCTCTCTCACCTTGTTCATTTTGTTTCAGAAGAAGCCATGGTAAGAGTATCCTCTCTCTTCCGCTTCTTATCATCAAAGAGGCCCGTCAAAAACAAGGTTGACCTTGCTAGAGGAGGTAGCCAATCCGTGTCAAGAGGTAGCCAGCTCAAGTCAGTATCGGATAAAACAACAGCAAAACCTACCCTGTAAAAAGTTTGAAATATACTCAGAGCATTTCTCCTTTCTACCGTATCGAACACCTTTTTTGAGAGTACAATCATATTTGCTGGTGCAGGATTATCCAGTGCCCACAGGTAAGCGTCCACAAACAGGGAAGAACTCCTAGCGTATTCATCCCCTGCAAAGTAACTAGTGTAAGTAAAAATATATAAACGTGAAAAAAAAGTGAAGGGAACTAACTATTATATATTCACCTTGGGGCATGAGATCGACTGTGATTCCGGCGACCAAGTATTGACTTCGCAATTCATCCGACAACGTATCATTGAGACTTCCCCACGATAATTCGCAGCCAAGAGAACTGATTTGATTTTCTGCCCCAGCGAAACAGGATCGGAACCATTAGGGATTGGGTAATCGTCGACGTCCCAAAAGACACATGTCTTAGCATCTGCCAAAGGAGAGAGAACGAATACACAATTACGAGACATATCAGCTAATCCAGATCATTAGATAGAGATATATTTAGAGAGGTCTTACGTACCCATGTATGAATCGAAGTTCGGTCCATATATACTAGCGTCAGGTAACCGCGGATCACAATACATAGTTGCCTCTGGATATAACATTAGGGATTGGGTAATCGTCGACGTCCCAAAAGACACATGTCTTAGCATCTGCCAAAGGAGAGAACGAATACAGAATTAGATAGGCTAGTTTACCATGACAGATCGATGAGATGAAAGCTAATCCAGATCATTAGACAAACAATTTCGAGCAAGAGATGTAGATAGATATTTAGAGAGGTCTTACGTACCCATGTATGAATCGAAGTTCGGTCCATATATACTACCGTCAGGTAACCGCGGATCACAATAGATAGTTGCCTCCGGATAAAACATTTCTTCGTCGGAGAACCGCGGATCAGACATAGATTCGTCGGAGGACGGCGGATCAGTAACTTTGTGAATTCTAGGGTTAGATCTAAAGAAATTGAAATTTCTGTTTAACTAGAAAGTACTGTTTCCTCAACTTTTAATCTGATCCCAACTTACTTATCAATTAATATATTACTAGATCCGGACCCGCACGTACGTGCGGGGTTTTGTTAACATCCGATTTTTTTAAATATAAAACTTATGTTATATAGGTTTTGAATGTGTGTGTATCAATTTGAAATTGGTATGACTATTAAAAATAGATTTTATGTTACATATTACATGATTGAATATATTGGTATGGTGTACAAATCTAATCGATCGATAAAAAATGTATTTGCGTATAGTTTGTATAAAAAAATAGTTGGGTTTTGGGAAAATAAGTTTGGCATATATTTATAATATAAGATTGTATTATATAATATAAAAAAATGTAGTATCATATTTTAACAAACTTAAGAATAATTATCCAAATTACATAAATAAAAAAGATCTACTAAATAATATGTAGGTTTCATAATATTCATTGATCATTAAAAAAAAAAGAGAAAAAAAAAACATCATTGATCGTTCTTTGATAGTATTTTTTTTCCGTCGTTTTGATAGTTTCTATGAAGGAGAAGCTTAACTTAAAATACAACTCATAAAAGGCCTATTAACTAAACATAAACCATTATTTGATAAAGCCCACACAGAGTCCATACTACCTTCTCGATCTTATCACCCACCTTCTTCCTCCTCCATCTCTTCCACTACTCCTCACCGTTTCAAATCCGCCACCACACTTACCTCTACTGCTGCCGCCGTCTTAGGAATCTCCTCCTCCGATGTGTATCGAGATCCGATGTATTCATGATAGGAATCAGTCTCCAAGTAAAGCTCTCGCATCATCTCTTTGTTATCTCTTCTTTCCGGCGATTCTCACTCAGAAGACGACCACGTAACCTTGATCTCATCTCATGCGGATTCTGATAGTCTTGCGGTATCTTTCTTTCTTCAGGCGTTTCGAATTTTTGACCCACTGCTTCGTCTTGTCGTCCTCTCGCGCATGTACAATATTCGGAGGTCTCTCCCTAATTCTTTTGTTTCAAAAAAGCGAGGTAAATTGTCTTTCAATAATTTCTTCTACTCTGAAACATGTGTTGAGCCGAATTGTGTATACTTCATATAGAAAACTTTCTTTTGCCCTAGTATGTTAAAATCAAAGTACTAAATAAGAGATGCCTACAACTAAAAACTAAAAATCCTGCTATTGTTTGATATACATTAATTACCTTTATTGCTTCTGTATATGAAAGGGTTAACTTCATATGGCTTAAGAAAATGGTAAACTTTAGAAAAACCAAAACTAAGTTGTTTTAAATATAAGGTTTGAGATTCTGGAAAAAAGGAAAACACTTTGAAATGAAAAACGGAGTAGCAAAAGAAAACAAAAAGTTGAAAGATTGGTGAGTAATGAAAATGGTAGTAGACTTTAATAATTATAGGAAAAAAAGGTCGGCTAAATATTTAAAACATCTTAAACCCATATGAATGGTTTGATGTCAGCAAGAGTGATGATGCTAAGATTTGCAGCCATTTTATTAAAAGGAATAGAAACAACAAAGTTTTCGTAGAGAAAGGTTAGTTTGTATCCTCAATGGCATTAGGCATCAATATTTATAGGGAAAAGGGTCGGCTAGATTGTTTGAGGGTTTATGGAATCAGATCTAAATAATATATTTGTGAATCCGTTATTTGTACCATGGTTTAAGGTATATAATTGATTATTTAGGTTTTTTTCCAATATGAATTTGCGAATTCAGTGTTTTTAGGTATAGATGCTCGATTTGTTAGGATCATAATATTTAGTTATTGTTAGATATGGTATATATAATAACTTATATCGTTTTAAAAGAGATTTATTTTTATTTATTAATCTAAATTTATTGGATTTGTTTGTTATAGAAATCTCTTTAAATGATAACAAACAGATTTGGTTATGGCATTAATTTCAGGATATATTGTACAACATTCCAGAAGCATTGATTGCCAAAGATTTGCGGAAATTATTTTCATCAGATACGCGGATCAAACGGATCCTAAAGTTCATGCCTTACCAAGATCCGCGTCTTTTACCGCATGAATATGGATTTAGATCCGACCCAATAACCCAGGATCCGCGTGTCTACATGCCAGCAAATTTACCATTTTACCCTTAGACGAATTTTTAAGTATACTCTTAGATTGGATTAATTGTAATGGCAATCTTTTGTAATTTTTTACCCTTTATAAGGTTTATCATTAGGGAATGCTTCTCAATTAATAGTATAGATAAAATAGATTTTTGGAAAACTAAAACCTAAAATAACTTCAAAATCTGCGAACATTGAAGGCCTCAATATTTTTTAATATTGACCCTCTAATTTATTTCTTTTTGATCAATTCAAATCGCTCTATACCGGTCATTGGATATTTTCGCATTCGAATACTTTAAAAATTTTTTTATTGTAAAACTCACTAGATTTTATGTTTGCGTCAATGGTTTTGCAGACAATTTAAATTCAATCCAAACATGTAAGCTCACAAATATCGAAAGAAAATGTCGCGCTAGTAAATGTAAATCCTGATGATTTGCTCAAAATAGATGGAAGCTCATAAACCTGTGGTAGCTCTTCTACTTGAATGAATGATTTTATGATCCCAATATATATATCAAACAGTGCTTTCTACCTTGTGGTTTTATGATCGGAGTGTATCATTAAACAATCTTTTTTTTCTAAATTTTAATGCGAGACATGGTTTTTGGTATGATCACTCAACTGTTTTGTTGGATTTAAAAGTGTCACACCTCATGATGCTGCTTGTGAAGACTTGAAGACAAAGCTTAAAGGTAAATGGGAGTTTTAAGCGTGAGTCACACGTGAAAGGTTGTTTTAGGTTAAATAAACCAACCACCGACTCTGTTTCTCTGCAATATAAAACAAAAGCTACGAGAAGTTGTTAGGTCAATGAGTGAGAGAGAGATACTCGTTTCACACAAATATTGTCTCTGGTTATTGGTAGATAGTACTAGTCGTGTTGAATTAGCATTTTGTCTTTATATGATTGAAAATCAGATGGTTAATATTAATAGTTATGTAAGAATTAGCATTTTGTCTTTGTAACCACAATATTTGATTGAAAATCAGATGGTTAATATTAATAGTTATGTAAGATGAATTTTAACAATGACTTTCATGATTTTGGGATGATGTCTCATGTGGTCCAACCCCTGTGTGTTTCTGCGAAGGGACAGTGGAAGAATCGTACATCATTGGATCATGAGGAATTAGTGTGTTCTCCAAGTTAGGTATGAGCTCTCAATCCAATTATCTGTTGTAGCTTAGTAATGACCATTTTTGGTGTGAGGTCATTCAAAAAGAGGGTTTGTTACTTGTTACTTCTTCCAAAGTAGTACTCGAAACTACTTTTGATGAAACAATGTTAGTATGATTCTCTGTTTAGCTAATAACAACGCATCATTGAAGCATTCTATATCTTGCAATCAAAGCCTGCCTTCTCGTCTTTGTTTTGACATTTTTCTCTATAATACCCATCTATTCTTCTTTATAATGAAGTAATTTGAGTTCCACCAGAACATTTGACAGTTTCAGTTTTGTTCGAAATAGAAAATTTTGTGAAGTTGATTGTTTGTCCTGAGATTACTGCATATTCTTGGACGTTCATCTATAAAATGCTCTGGTGTTGTAAGGGTTGCTTAACTTGGACGTTCAATCTTGGACCACATTTGGTATAGATTATTTCCTAAATCAATTTTCTCAGGACAGAACAGTAATAGATGAAAGGCTTAACATGTCACATTTTGTCTAAGTCACATTTTGGAGTAATCAATCTTACCATATGGAGTTATGTTGATGAACATCAAGAAAGATACATAAGCTTATAGGATAAAACTCTGCAAGACTTGATCTGTGATGCATGTATCTGATGCAGAAGATGGATTCTGTGAGTTGATGTTGTTATATAATGGAGTTTTTCCTTCGGAAAGGAGTGTTGTGATCAACAAATAGCTTTGTATGGAATATTATCCACTCTAAACCTCATGAAGAACATATATATATATATATAAACACGAGAAACAAATATTCTTATAACTTCTGTAACTAGAACTTAAGAGTTAGTATTCTAAGCTTATTTCTCCAGCTGGTAAAGAAGGACATCATCATTACCAACCTACTGTATGTCCTGCTTTCAACTCCCTAAGAATCTTCTCAACAGAGTCAATGAAACCATGAGAAAGTTCTGGTGGTCCTCATGAGTCATGATAAAAGACGAAAACAAAATTGCTTGAATCTCATGGGACAAAGTTGCAAACTCAAAACAGTGGTGAGGCTTAGAAATTAGAGGACTTGCAAAGTTCAAGTTTAGCTGGAAAATGATGCAGAATCCAGAATCTTTATTGTCCAGGGTACACAAAGCAAAGTATCATCACAAAATTGGTCTAATGGAAACTAGAAAAGGAGCTATGCCAAGTTATAGCTAGAGAACCATACTAGCTCGTAAAGAGCTCCTTTAAAATGGTAAACTAAGAAGAGTTCTGACAGGAACTCATGCCTGGGATCATGCAACAAATAACTGACCAAGAAGATTCTGACTATTCGTCCCAGCTTTACTAACATGTCAGATACAATTTCCTTGAATCTACAGTCAAACCTGGCTACAAGCTTTGCAGAAGATTGCAAGCATCTATATCAAGCATTACAAGATGGTCAAGCAGAGCTTTAATAAGAGAATACCATCAGGCCCGGCCCAATTGTAAGGCAAAGGGAGCAAGAGCTTTAGGCTACATTATTTTTAGTAATTTGATGAGGCCACATACGGTAGAACCTCTATAAATTAATATTCGATAAATTAATAAATACTATAAATTAATAAAATTGTTCGGTCCCAAGTCGGGTCAATGTAAAATTTGACAAAATTCGATAAGATAATAAAATAATAATTTTTTTAGAATCTCTATGTAAATATATGGTCCCATTAATATCCTAAATTAATAATCATGTAAATTTATATATGTATATATATATATATATATATATAAGTTGTTATACTAATGTATGCTTTTAGTTGTTTTTTATTAAATTGAATTTTCGTTAGAACATATGTCTAACTTTTATTGAATAAAACAATTGGTTTATTGTGGTTTTAACTTATAGTAGTGTAGTATACTCTATAATTGTATCGTAAAATAGTCAAGATTTTCTGTAAGTTTTTAATTTTTGAATATGCATCATTTTCATTACGATAGTCCTATAGCTGTTAAAATACGACAATAGAGGTCATTAATCATAAATTTGAATTTACTTATATCGTTTGTATAAATAAATTCATCTATAGTCTTTATAATTTTATTGTCTAATTTATTTTTGAAAAAGTTTTTTTTCAAACTATTAAAATTTCAAGTCCAAAACTATAAATTTATAAATTCATTTCTTTCTAAAATTTTAAGAATTAAAACATATCTCTTTATAAATTAATAAATATTAATTTACACTATAAATTAATATTTATTAATTTACACTATAAATTAATATTTATTAATTTATAGATAAATTAATATCACTATAAATTAATAAAATATCATGGTCCCAACAATATTAATTTATAGAGGTTTTACTGTATATTGTTTTGTCATTAGGTGAAATGATGAAAATTATATCATAAATTGTTTATTGAAGCTAAGCGTAACGCCTAGACGGCCAATTTTCTTAGTGGATCCCACGTTCTTTCACGGTCCGTGGGCCTATTCGTGTCCGACAACTGGTTCATTACGTCCGTAAAGTTTTAAAGATTTATTTACTGATTCTACAAATCACCTCATTATATTTTTCAGTGTTTTGTCCTCACTCACATGGTTCCGAAAATTATTTCCCGGAAGGTTAGTTAACTGTGGAGTTCTCTCAAACCAGTTGACCGAAAAGACAAATGCACTTTAATGACATCGATGACCAAATCAATTCTTTTAAACGTCTCTCCATATACCATTATATTTCTGAATCAGAATATTACACTAAAGTTTTAACTCTGTGTTATTTACCTTTTCAATGTTCCAACATGATATTTTTACAACCCAGCTCCTTTCTTTATTTTATTCCTTTCTTAATTTTACTCCTTGTCCCTTATTACGTCACTATTTATTTTATTGGCCTCATTATTATTATTTCTTCTACTTTGACTTTCTTTTTTTTCTTCTAATAATTATTTACACTTTTAGTTATTTTCTTACAAAACTTTCAACTTTTTAGTATCCAATGCATTTCATAGGAATAATTTGCAAAATGTTAACATATTTATATCCGACTTTTGTAATTGCTAGAAAATTATTTATAGATTAGAATCAACATAATTACATAATATGAACATATGAGCTATAAAATAACGTTGATTATGTGTTGATATATAGGTTGAACATATTTTTTTTTGGAAAATAAATTTAGATCACACTGTTGCTTTTTTTTTTCTTGAAAATTTATCTCCGTAGTTTTGTATCCAATGTAACTAATATTAATAGTAGTTGAATATAAATATATTTCATAGATTAAGACCTCATTTTTTAAAATGCTTTAAGCCTCAAAACATTTAGGCCACATTTAATTTTCTCGAGTTTCCAAAGTTTTTGTAATCTCTTGTGACTCGAATTCCGCGTCAATCTCCGCAATTATCTTCAATAGATCTAGAGTTTTGCTCAACCATCACTAACCACCGTCATCTATGACTGTGTCTCGACTTCTATAGTTGGATGATCCTCTAACATGCTACAACTGCTGAGATTGGTTGGCTGTCAGCAACTACACAACTCGTACATATGATCATAACCGCATTTAGTATGAATCTGAGCAAACAAACGCTCACTTAATCGAAAGCTAAATAATTAACTTTGGAATGAGATTGTCCTCAATACTTTATCGTTGTCATAGATTTATAACCCGGATCGTTTCCATAGATGATGCACATGAATAACACAAATAAAAACTCATATTAGTTTTGATCAAAAACAAAAAAAAAACTCAGATTAGTTTAGAGATTCTATGCAAAATAATGAACTTATAAACTATAAATTATTATTACCCAATCAACAAAATATATATCCTAACTGTTAGGACGGAGAGTTTTATTGATCTTTCCATGAAAAACTTCCATAACAACTACACCAAAGCTCTAAACATCATCTTTATCAGAGATATGGCCTTTGTATGCATATTATAATGCTATGTATCCGCTGCATGCAACATGTAAGCAAAGAGTT